AACAGGTTCCAGCAACAAGTTTGCCTCCAGAACCTTGGAATGCTAGACTAGAGGGACATGGATGTTGCATTTCATTGAAAAAGTCTGCAGAATTCTACTTAATCAAATTGCAGTCATTGTTCTCTACTGGGTGTGCGTTCAGGTTGAGCGTCAAAAACGCGCGAAATTTCCTGGAACTTGATGAAACCTAAGTTCTCATTCAGATTGACTTACTGGAGAATTTTTTCAAAGGGACTCTTTCACTCTATTTCATGTTACAACTCATTCCTGTTCTCGATCTTCTTTGATCATAATTAGCTCTTTGAAAGCTTATAGCAACGGCAAATTTCCCAATATAGTCCACCTATTCCAAGTGTGGAAGGCGATCAGCAGAGCGGAAGAAAGCTGATCCGCTAAATAGGGATGGTAGTTAAGACAGAGGGTATCCTTCACAAATTTGAAGTAAGGCTTTTTTTGCATGAGGTTTCATTAAGATGGATGCTTTTTTGAAAATGTGATGACGGCGTCAATACATCCTCAATCAGACATGTGCACTGTGCAGATAATAAAAACCGTAAATCCTTATGGTAATGTACTTGCTGCGACATAAGCCAGCAACTAGTTTTTTGGCTCCAGATTGCACTACGAACGTACACACAAAGCTTAACGCCGCAAATAGAGATAAGACTTATAAAAATGCAAAACAAGATGCATTGGAACTGCAACCTACTAATAGCTCAGCTAATAAGCAGAAGTCATTTTCTCATTTTCAGCCAAAACAATAGGCTGCTAGGGGGAACCTAGCAAACCTTTGATAATTTTTTCTACTTTATTCAAATTTTCTTTGAACTGTATTCGCTCATTTTTGCACTATAGAACAATCAAATGTTCCTATGTAATGAAGAATGAATGAAAGACATACTTTCACGCTTATTTTCATTACGAAAACTGCTCTCTTTAATATTGATATTTTAGTCATATGTCTCTTCAGTTGATCAGTTAATATCCCGCCGCTTGGTATAAGCGGTATCTCTGATCAAAAATTGTGACACCCGAGAATAAAAAGAGGGATATATGATTTTTTGACTGTGAGTGAACTATGTGATCACCAGAAATAACAAACCTTCGACCGCTGTGGAGGTGGTGGTGGTGGTGGTGGAGGAGGAGCATCTTTTCGTGCCGTCGAACGAGGATGGATAGGTGGAGGAGCATTTGGCGGGTTAAATTCACTCTCCCCCACCGCACTTCCTTTCCGTTTTTCTTGCACAACAGCGCCTAATATAACAGGAAGAAAAAAGAATGTATTGGCATGAGAAGCAAATCATGTAA